ATATATATATATATATATATATATCAAAAATGCCTTGTAATTTTCAATAATATTGGTGGACATCTTGGGTGATAAAAGTGTGCTTGCGTATAGAAATTACCCAAATTGGTCTATCATTGAATATTTGAATAAACGAACATGCATATAAACCGTAGCTACAATGTCTCATGCATAATACATACATTTGTTACCGATGGCTTGTTGGTCTAGTGGAAGAAAATCGATTCCCCTTAAGTAAAGTTTGAATGAAAACAAGCCCTGGGAGCTTTCTCTAATGGAGTCTGACCTGTCTTGATTCTAAATTAATTAAAACCCAATGTAATTATCGGATATCGAGAATTAATAAAAAAAGAAAAAAATACATACACTTGTTGCTTGCTAATATCATTCAAAGAAGCTATACAATGTTAACGTGCAATAACAATAATAATCATTAAAAAGACTACTGAAACCCAGGTTTTTTCACATTGGAGCATGGTTCACATCTCTCTCATACTAATGAAACAAATTATTGCATCTAACTTGTGAATGCAAAAGAAGGGCAAAAACAACCGCACAAAATATGAAGACCCTGATTTCTGATTAAATGTTATACCAAACTGGGTCTGTCTCTACATTCTTTCTTTCCTTACAAAAGCAGTTCGAACTTCAAACTGCAACAGTGCAACTGATGTACAGACATGGGAAAACCATGGTGTGAAAGAATCTGATGTCTAAATGTAACAGCATGTTAGATACAGCAGCCGGGTAACTCCAGTGAAACAATCATTGTTTCTGCATTCTCTGGCATTATATACAAATAGATGCGACTCCCCTAGCGGCTCAATCCCAGTGAAGTAATCAGGTCAATAGTCAATGTGACCACCAAATTGAAGTCTATGCCCTCTCACTGTAAGGAGAAAGGAAAACGAATGAAAGAATCATGACACCAGGAACCATTGTTTCTGTATTCTTTGGCATTATATACACCCATCGAAATCCTTCTCCTATCATATCACATAGCTGATGATGATCTTTTGTCCTCTGATTTGTTAGTACGACACAAGCAATCAGGGCATGGGAAGGTATATATTGAATCATTAGGCCTTTTCAGCTCATATCCCTTTGAATCACTGTGAGACCGCATGTTCAGCATTTGCCGCTTGAAACTTTTCCACCTGGGAATGAGCAGAAGTGGTAAATAGCATGTAGCCATCATGATTTCCAATTATCAAGAATAGGGAAACATTGTAAACACAACACTAGACCACCAAACCACAAGATTAACACTTCAATAAGACATACCAACTCCATTACATAATTTGAAAACCAGCGTTTGGCAATCAACTGTGATTCGCAAGTATTCAGCACCACTATTTCCTATTGCTATATTTGAAATTATCTCACAAACTTGCAACTGTAACATGGTCCACAATGTATTATAAACTTTTTATACTTTCCATCTCATTTCAGCCACTATACAAGAGGAGGAAAATAACCAATGTTTTGGCTTGAATCTCAATAAATCTTCCCATAATTATTATATAAGTTCCTATGTCTTGAAATCCACTGGTAAATTGAAATTTGAAGGTGAAGCAATTTTAGCAACAAGACAGACACATACCCAATTTTGGGATTATCAAAGAGCAATGCTAACTTTCGCTTGTCTGGTCTAATTGTCTTCGAGTGTCCTCCAAACAAATATCTCCGGTGGCCCATCAGAAAATGAGGAAAGTTCCCACCTTGAGTTGTCACAAATACCTCACTATGAAGACAAACAGTATAGTCTATGGCAGCCATCCTGGAAGAGAAGTTCTGAAAGCAGTAACTAAAGTCAGAACAATGTCGTTAAGACAAATCTCATAAAAATATATATATATATATAGTAAGAGGAAATAGAAAGAAGCAAAACCCATATTTTCTGGAGTCCAGACCTTAAATGGGGCAAGCTCATCCTGGGATGCTAGCATCTCTTTTGTTTGCATATTAGGAAACATTTCAAATAACGGAGCCATTGTTCTCTCAGCATTGTAAATCTTGCCAGATGCCAAATAGATATTTGTGCTGTTATCAAACCCCGTTCCTCTAAGCATCAAGCCAACCTAATACATCCAATAAAACACTAAATGGACCACATATGAAGTATACTATCATCTATACTTTACAATTCCTAAAATCTGAAACTTATAGGCATCTCACAGCTGCAGCACACATTTATACTCAAGTC